AAGTGTAAACAAATGTTAGGAAATATTCATATATTAGGGGAGATTCTGCTGAAATTTATATTAGAAATTTGTTGTATTAAGTGTAAACAAATATAAAAAAATATTCATATATTAGGGAGATTCTGCCAAAATTTACATTAAAAATTTGTGTAATATAAAATAAAAGGTTGATACAATATTGTGTATTTGGTCTCTAAATGTGTATTATATTTGATTTAGATATGGCAGGTAAAGGTAAGTGGAAGAACTGTAGAAGCAAAATAAGGAGATGTGGAAGACCAAGAAAAATGCATTGAAGAAGAAGTGAGCCAAGAAAATGGAGAAGATAGAGAAGAATGTGACATTGAGGATGCAGAGGGAGGACAGATACAACAGCAGCATATGCAGATGCATGCATACTTTGAGGTCATGAGAGCAAGCATCTCTACACCTCTTCCTCTTACTTCACCAGCTCCAACACCACTAATCTTCAGTTTCATGCGTCATTCTTCCTCTAACTCCTCCTCTACTGATAATAATACTTTTTCGGAAGATGATCACATCAATTATTAGTGATATACAATGTTATTTTAATTTAAAATTATTTTTTTGGATGTTTACTTCTTCATTTGTATTTAATTTTACATTTTATAAATAATTTTTGATTTAAATATATAATTTTATAATTTTTATTATGTTTATAAAAAAATAAAATAATTTTTTTTAAAATGTCATAAATGAATTATAAATTTTTAGACAGATTTAAAAATTCGTCTATAATTATTTATCAATGCGCATATTATAGACAGACTAGAATCGTTTGTAAATCCACCTGTAATGCTAAAATTCATCTGTAATAATAATAAAAAAAAAGTCTATAAATCTATCTATATTTACAAATTTTCTAGTAGTGATTGTTTATTTATTTATTTATTTCAATCATTTCTTCATTTTAAGTGATCTATTTTTTTCCGAACTTCACTTAAATTTTTTATCATCTAAATTCTAACTTGAAAAATACATTAAAAAAATCATGAATTTAACTAAAAAAATTACATTTTAAGTAATTTTTTCTAATCATTAAGTAAAAATCAAATAATTATGTATCATTTTCATGTATTTCAATTTTTTTCTAAATTTATGTATAATAAACCCTGTAAATCTACTTATAATGTAGATTTATCAACTCCAATTCAAAATGTACTCTAGAAGCCACGGTGTTGCACATTTCATGCCATAGGTCATAGGTTTGATTGGCGGTGCTGTGGTGTAATTGACTCGTGCTTTAGCTGGCTGGTTCGGTCTTCTAAAGTATGGCTTTGCGGAATCATATTCGTTTATAGAAAATGACAAAAAAAAAGGTTTAAAGAAAATGACGACTTCTCTCTGTACAAAGCAACAAAATTCCCACTTTTTCTCATGTACCTTTAAAAAGAGAGAGCAATTTTAATTTTCTAATAAAAATTTATAGTAGGACTCCAATTATCCAAAGCTGTTGAGGAAATTTACAAAGACATCTCAGCGCTTTTGCGAAATGTGGTAGGAAATTCGCTGCATTGCAAATGATCATTAAGAAGGATATGCTGGTAATGTTAGCGGTAGCACGAATGTCAATAAAGAAAGACCATAAGGTTAATAAGCATTCTATTGTAATCAATTGTTTTAAGAAAGTGTATTCATGGTGGCATTTCTCTTGATTGCATGGGGTGTGCACTTGGGGCCCGTGGGATTCTAATTGAGGTTCACTGTGTCACTCGAACTGGAAGCACTATATTGTGGAAGTCACTTTCATGTCTTCTGTTATGTTTCGAATTTGGAGAGTGGAGCCCTCCTCTCAGCCCCAAAAGTTACACAAGAGCCAAAATTATAAATGAGAAGTTGACATGCAATATTCTCGTCTATAACTTTTTTTTTAATTTCTTTTTATTTTTTATGTGCATTATTTTGATCAAAAAAGCTATATGCACATATGCATTTCGACACCACACATATAATAGAGAAAATTGAAAGGGAAAGAATGGACTAATAGAAAGGCGAAGAGAGGAAAATCAGAATATAACAAATATTTCTTTTTTGCATATATATATATATATATATATATATATGTGTGTGTGAGAGAGATTATAATATTTTTATTTTGACTTGAATATCTTTTAATTACAAAATTATACGAGTTTCCACGTAAATGTAGTTCATTTTTAGTCTTTAGTAGTGAATTAAAAATGTATGGTTTTTCATAGATAAGAAAAAAAATTAAACAAAGATTAAAGATAACATCTTTTTAAAAGTAAAAGTATTTTTAAATAGACCGCAAATAGAACAAAATGTATAGGTGCCTTGCTTAAGAAGAAAATCTTACATATCGACACATGACATGTTACATAAAATTTAAATACATGCTATTAAATTCAAACGGTCGATGCTATCATGGCGTATGCAATAGCATTTCTTAGTCGTGATGATGTGTGATGGATCGTGACACACCATGTGGATTTTACTGTATGTACTCTTGGTAGGCATTAGAAGAGCATGCATGATACTAAGTAGAATTATTGCAAGAATAATTAATATGAGGAAGTACGTATTGTGGGTAGGCACTAGGCATTGGTGTACGAGTCATTCCCAGCGACCGGGCTATGGTAGAGTCATCAGTCACTCACTCACACACAAAAGAAAAAATGAAAGAGGGAAAGAAAAAAGATTCACTATTGATCTCTGACTTGCATCTTGCGAATGTTTTACGTGTCTCGTTTTGTTATCAGAATGCTATTCTACCACGTTTCGGATACAATTGGTTGCTCATAAACTCTTACACGCGTTTTACAGCACATTTATGAATTATGATTTATCATCCAACTGTGAGTTTAATACCAAAAGGAAGGACCCAAATGAGCATTGACCCCATAATGTAATATATTATCGAGTGATAATTGAAATATGAAAAGAATCTTTTTCCGGCAACGATGATAAATTAAAATATGGAAAAAAAGGACAAAGCTCAGTTTCAACTTTCCTCGCTGGTTGGTTCTTTTATGACATTAATGGCAAAGCTTATCAATTATGAAATGATGATGTCTTCTTAACTATAATTTTAAACAGTTTTTATTATTTAATAAATTGTGTAAATCATAATATATTTGATGAAATTTTATATAAAATTTACTTAAATAATAAAAAGATGTATTGAATAAACAACCTTACAAAATTTCTCTAAATGAAATTCATGCTCCTCCAATGCAAGTAACTTCCCTGCGTCCCATTTATGTATGTACGTGCACAAACAGAATGTGTCCGCTTGTGTACGTAAAAAGAAGGATTCTTGGATTGACTGGAATTCTCAATTCTGGTTGGACCGCGTGACCCCCTCCTCCTTCAAATACATTCCAATATTCTGTTTGTTTCTCGGCATAAAATGAACTAGGCTAAAACAACACTCAAAAGTGAGTATAAAGTTGACTATATTAGTAAAGTAGCATCCTTATATTAATTTATGTATCTTAATTTTAGAATTTCGCCCATCCAACGTTAAAATGTATATTTTCAAAAATCTACATTTATTAACTTGTTAATACGTTGTTTTTTGAAATCGGAGACAGTATTAAGGGACATTATGTGGCACAAAAATTTTCTTGGTGTAGCTAAAATCTATTCCCAGCTTTTATAATAACACTGGTATGTTTGGATGGGTAAAATTCTATCACACAATTATTTTTAGTTTTAATATTTTAATTAAACTGTACATTTTAGATTTTGCCTGTACCATGGAAATTTCTCGATGAGATGGACCCAGGCGAGATTGGTAACACACCTGAGAGATGAATAAGAAAAGCATTTCACATTTTCTTTAGAGGGGAAAGGAGGAGCTAGCTAGATAGCTAATTATTAACGAGGAGAATGAGAATCATAATAATAATCATATCATCATATTCACTACCCATATCCCACGGCCAGGGTTAACAATAACAACCCCACGTGCGATGTCCCTAACCATGGTTCAACCCAAATCTAATCTATGTTCAATTTATTTTAGTGATATATGTTAAAAATTATAGATGAAAGTATATTTATTATATTATTTTAACATTTTTTATAGCTTTTCTTATTTTAAAAAATAAAGTTAAAATTAAAAAATTTCTTCCGTAATAATTAGAAAAATTGTTAATAGAAAAACAAAGCAGACTGAACCCGTATACGGTAGAGGGAGAGCGGGATCACTGAGCAAAAACCCAAAACCAAAAACCAAAATCAGCCGACACTGAAAAAGGCGAAACCCAGCGACTCCGGAACGACGACTCTTCTATTTCCAACAGCAACAAAAGAGAAAAGAGAGAACAAAACCTAACCAACCAGTAACACTGTAACAGTATACTTGTTTTCCTCTCTCTTTCTCTCCAAATACCAATATACTGTTGTTACTAGTACTACTACAAAATTGAAAAATGGGAAGGTGAATAGCGTGGTCTGGCACATATAGGGAAAGACCTAATGGCATGGCAGTGTTATTTCATAAATGCGCTTCGCCTTTTTTTGACGATTCTCCTTTACGCGTTGCAGTTTTGTCACTTCTGATTCTCTCTGCCATCTTGGTCGCTTCAAACCTTTTTTCTCTCTCCGCCTTCTCCTCCACTTCTTCTTCCTTCTTCCACTCAACACTAATGCATGGACCAATGAATGTCGTTTTCCCTTGATCCAGATTTATAAGCAAACAAACAAACGGTGTGTGCTGAAGCTAGCAATAGCAATAGCTACTATAACTTCATAGTTATAGTTAATAGTTTTAGGTAGAGTTGGGTTTGATTGAATAATGAGAATGAATGCTAATATTTCTCTTTTTAGGTCTCACACTCTCACACACTGTCATCGTAGCCCCGTGATACTAACTTCCCTTTTCTACTCTCGTCTTTTCTCGAATCGACGGCTATTCCTGTTTCGTTGACTCTATTCCGCACATGATGTGATGTATATATACCACTCGACCTTTTCTTCTGCAGATCTATTATCTTTCATGCTGTTCTGCTCCACGCTCTGCCTAAACGACTCGTCGTCGCTCTGGGTGTTTCTTTGATGGGACAGCATTCGGTTCAGCGAACCGCCGTGATCGCAACCGTCTCCTTCTTCTTCTTCCTCGGACTCCTTGCCGTTTTAGCAGGTGCGTGTGCGGGTGCGGGTGCGGGTGCGTGTACTCATACCCAATTGTGTTGTTTTATTTGGAAGGAAGTTTGGTGGTCCCTTGTTTGTACCCGCAGGAGCAGGAGCTCTGGGTATGGATGTTGTGTGAATATTTGTTAATCTTATCTTTAATTATTGTGCTTGCAGGTTTGGATGGTACCGGAACCCTGGTGTCCTTGTCGCTGGGTTTCGACAAAGGGACCAACAACACGCTCCCTAGTCCGCATCGCAAACTTCTTCGTCGTGGTAATTGTTTCTTTTTTCCTTTCTTTTCTAGCTTTACTTGTGACAAATTACTTGTATTTTTCACCAGGGAACGAGTTTGTCTTTCATTTTTTGAGGGTCCCCTTTGTACTGTTTTCTGCACTTATGCGTTTGCCTATTTTTTTATGTTTGTCATCTGAACGAGCGTATTTTCATCAAATTATCAAAGGTCATGTAACTAAAACTTCGAACTGCACTTCAAACTTGAAAATAATGTGCGCAAGCCCAAGTCTTACTCGTTCGAGTAACTTGCCTTTTTTTCCCCGGTTTAATCTTGAGACCTGAAAGTTGCTTTTGAGCTTGTGGGGTTATGATTCGCTTTTCTATGATTATGTTTTGAATAGATACAAGAATAAGATAATCTCAATAATAAGGTTTTGTCGTGGTGTGGCTTCCTGCGTAGGAGGATGGGTTTTTATTGCTTATTGATTATTGATTATTGATGTGTACTAAAATATCAGAATTTGTCACTTTCTTTTTATATGACTTCTTTTTTATTATGAGAGAGAACTTAGTATACTCATATTCTAATGGAAAGGACCTTTCTTATATAATTTTTTTAAAACAAAAGAAAGGGTTTTGCAGCGACTGAAATGGTGGAACCGAACCGAATATGGGGTGACAAATGCAGCAAATCTGATATTGTGATCAACCAGGGTCCTACGGCCCCACTCCCAAGTGGCATTCCCACCTACACTGTTGAGATCATGAATATGTGCGTAAGTGGATGCGACATCTCTGGTATTCACCTCAGATGCGGCTGGTTCAGCTCTGCACGCCTCATCAACCCCAAGGTCTTCAAGCGCCTTCGTTACAACGATTGCCTCGTCAATGATGGCAGACCCTTAATCAATGGCGGTACAATTTCCTTTCAGTATGCCAACACCTTCCTCTACCCTCTCTCCGTGTCCTCTGTAGTCTGTGTCTGACCCCTTTACATGGTACCCACCCACTGCCATAAAACAATCCTAAGATGATTGATAGGGTACTCGCTGGCGAACTGGTTTGATTTGATGTTGCAGAAATCGATTCTTTTGACTTGTATATACACATTATAGGTATATGCCGATGTCACTTGTGCACGTGATGATGGGTCTTTTGAAATGCGATCAGGGGAATATGATTACAATTTTTTGATATATAGGAAGAAATGGGTAAGGACTGAGGATAAAGTTCTAGACCCAATTGCCTTGCCTCTTTTTTGCTCTATACTACTAGTATATTTGTTTTTTGGGGGCATGATGAGATGATATATACTTTTGGCTATTTTACCGTTTGTGTACATTCATTAATAGAACTGTACAAGCAACTAGTATTACTATTACCACTGGCTAGAAGTTCATGGCTTGTATTATTAACATTCAAGCGAAACTGCTCTTTTCCTCTTAAGAAAACGGATGGATTGGTCCCCTCCTTTTCAATCTCTGTGCTCGTTGAAAAATTAGATTATCAGTGAGTAGAGGAAGCGAGGGATTTATGATGCATGCATAATGTGTGTGATTGCGACCTCACCTCAGGGGCCCCGTGAATTGTCATAATGTCAACCACCGAAATGTAGTTCTGTTTCTTTACCAGAAACATTGATTTCATTCACGATTGCTCCCAAAAAATAAGGTGGAACTAGTTGGGGCTTTGTTATATACAGTTTAATATTTGCTTCAATATTCTTATTCCTTCTATTAGAAAGAATAATCTTAAAATTTTCGATATCTTGTGCTTATAATTTTTTTAATTATTAAAAAGAATAACTATTAAATTATTTCAATTTTTGAGATAATAAATGTGTTATTCTATTTAATACATTATAAAGTAGGAGAAACGTTATTTAAGGAATTTATGAGTATATAACAATTTTATTCGAAAATGAAAATTAGATAGTGTCTTTTAATGTAAATAATGTAAAAAAAAATATACCAGTAAGGATTTTATTATGTACAAAATTTTGCCATACACCGTGGATATTTAATGTTATTTTAAGTTATTGAGCTGAAATATTTATTAGAGTTCTGTTAAAATTTTTACATTATTAAAACTTAAAAGGTAATACTAAAATTTTCTTCAAGGATTGTACTTACATTTTCTATCTTTGTTCCTAATGTAAATAACACCTTTGGTTATGTATATTGGTGCTTGACGTTTTAATAATATTTGCAAATAGCAAATTATCAATGGGTGGATGCAATTTAATATTGAATAGTTGATAAAGTAGTTTGACAACCGTTAGCTGGTTCTTTGCGACAGGTACACATTAAAAAATACAACACGTGGAAGTAAAAAGAAGGATAAAGTTCCTGTTTAGAAAATTTTCTAGAGAAGGCTTTATGTAAAGAAAAAATTAACATAAAATATGAATAAAATTTGTAAATTAAAAATAAATTTTCGTTTAATTTCTCTAAAATTTGAGGAAGTAAAAATATTTTATTTATTATTTATATTGATTTTTTATAAAAACTTCCTTCAAATCATCCAAACTGGACCGCAGTAACTAAATGCTTTAGACAATTTGTTCGTATAAAAGAAATAAAAATTGAATGAATTGCGTAGTTCAATAACATTATTTAAACGGCATTTTTATTCTTTTTAATGTTTTGTAAAAAATAATCTTAAAATAATATTTTTTTTTAAACATAATTACTGTCTAAGTCTTTTTTTTCACATTAGCATCTACTGTACTGATGAAATTACTTTTTTTAAATTAAATTTTGACTACAACAGTGATGAAATTATATAATTATGTCATATATCATCATTTCGTAAGTTTCGTTTGTTACATAGATGAAATTCACGTGATTATATCACATGTCATGTTAATCCAACAATAAAAACTTAATTTAGAGGAGAGAGAATGACTGTATCTCAAAAATATAATTACTATTAATTAATAATAGTCATTTTTATATTTAATATTATTAAAGTAATTTATCTACTAAAAAATAATTAATACTTTTTACCCATTTGTACCCATTCTGCTTTGTTCGACGCGTTTTTAAGTTTAAATAGTCAAATCGTAGTTATATTTTTCAGATGCACTTATTCTGTCTTCTCTGAATTAAGTTTTGGAAGTTGGATCAATATGACACGCAGTACAATCCTGTGAATTTCATCCATGGTAGTAGACGAAACTTATGACATGTGGCATAATCGCGTAATTTCATCTCTACTAAAGATGAAATTGAATAAAAAAATTAAAAAATTAATTTCGTTTGTATGGTAGACAAAACAAGTGTTGACGTTACAAAAAAACTCCAGACAAGAAATATGTCTTAAAAAAATATTATTTTAAAAAATTATTTTTTAAAAAACATTAACAAAATAAAAAAGCCACATGTCATTCACATGTTTTGTGGATAATTTTAAGTAAGTTATAAAATAAAATGCATTTGAGTTTGATCGTTGGAGATCAATATTTAATCTATTCTTTATCTTGGTACCTGATTGGATTGTAGTTATAGTCTATTTACTATGTTCGTGGTAAGGTTTATAGATTGAATAAATCTAATGACCTCAACTTTAGTGTACCTAATTTCTTAAGCAGTTCTATAGTAAATGAGACGACACTTATTGAATGACAGGGATAATAGCCCATTGTAATGGAAAAAAATGAAAGTCATGAGGGGATGCTTTCATTCTACCACTAACATGGGCTGTCACGAGGCAAACGAGACATCACACGTTATTATATTACATGTATTTTTAAGATGATAAAATAATAAACTTTTTTATTATTTTAATTTTTTATCTACTTCTAACAAAGTGGTATCAAGAACTTGATTCGATATTGAGAATTGAGAAATGATAAATAATAGTCTAAATATATTTTAATTTTTACGTTTCAATACAATAAATTACGATAATTGTTGTCAATACATAAGAGTCTTACTAGAAACTCGAGATGTTTGGGATTATAGAGAAATGTTATGATAAGCTTCAAGATTAGGCTATTTTGTCACAAAAAGATAAAGATATTTTGATGAAGTAAAATAAGAAAGATTATTAAGCACTTGCCTTTTATCCATCAAGACTTAAATGAAACCATGTTTGAGATAGTGTCTAGTATAACCATCTATAAAGAAGCATGAGAGATTTAAAAAATGAACTTTGAAGGAGTTAACAAGGTCAAAAAGGTGCATTTACAAGCTCTACGAAAGGGAGTTTGAATCCTTGCATATGAAGAAATCTAAGCTTATTTTGAATTTCGGTAATAAAGCAATAGTTGTTGTACACCAATGAAATGATATAGAGAAAAAGTAAAAAATGTTCACGTAATAGAAAAATTACTTCGCTCTTTAATCAAAAAGTTGGACTATGTAATTTGTGTAACATCCCTATTTTTATATATATCTTATAATGCATGATTATGTTAAATTTACATAATAAATATTTAAGATATCAAACTTTTCTTTAATGACTTATTTATATATAAGTCTTATGACTTTTATAGAGACATATCTATTTATATAGTTTAATAATATATTTAATAACTTTTTAAAATTTTTAATAAATATTCTTAAGATTTAACCTGATAACTAGTATTTATATTTAAGACAGATTTAAAAAGTAGAAATAATTGATAAATAATTTTATATTTTAAATTTTTTATATGATTAATTAAAAAGTATTTTTTTACTTATTCAAATAAATTTTACAGTTCAATTTATATGATAAGTTATTATATAAAAAATATTGTTAAATAGGTGTATGATTAAGTTGTGAAAGACTTCTTTAGTTTAAAGTGTTATATCATAACCGAGATAAACGACACAGCCTGCAAACCGTTCATAATAAACGACGTGTTTATTAGAGGATTGGCCGCGCCTTCGTTGTTAAGACTGTCGTTTTAGTAACCACTACCTTCCAAAGTGTAATCTTTGTCTCAGGTGAAGTAAAGCGGGAAGATGATGAAGAGGAAGAGAGAAGAGAAGGAGGACATGGATATTGTGTGGCAGACCCCAGCAAATCCCCCGCACCCGCATGATTACGTAGTTCGAAACGGTAACGTTCAATATCGCAGAGCTTTCCAACATTAACCATGAACACGGAAAATTACCACTTTTTTCTTGCTGAAATTTGTGCAGGAATTCGATTCGTTAAACCATACTACTTCGAATTTATCGCTCATGTTAGTTTTATTTTTTATTTAATAATTTTAAATTTTCGTTTCTACTTATGGTGTAAAAACCCTTATTAACACCTAGAGAATGGTCAATTTGTTGTTGCCAGGTTAAAAATCGATGGGCAGGGAAAACCATTGTAGATTTATTCGCTGAGGAGTTTAAGGGTCGACCCTATGAATATTATGTAAGAATATATTTGATTTTTGATTGTTTGTCTATTTGTAAGTTTTGGTTTCGTATTTTTTATGTTTTTGTCATTAGGTGATGAACCTTATCACAGTTTGTAAAACTCTGAAACAATTTTTCTCTGTTCATGTAATTTGATGCATTATCAGTGCAGAACTTTTTTACACTATCATTGTAATGTACAATAACAGTGTTGCAGTGTAGTAGTGAGAATACCCATGCATGTTGAGTTGTTAATCATTTATTGTATGCTGGTTTCACAGTAAACGTTTGAATTTCTGTTGTATACAACCGGCAAGCATTAGCAATCAAATGCCTAAAACTAATACTTCATTAAAAAAAAAAAAAGAGGAAGTGTAGTTGAGTCCTGTCCTGTTGTAGTTATTGATGTTTGATCATATGCTTTTAACGATTTTTAAACAAATGATGTCATATAATTCCCTAGAATCTTAGCTAATTGATTGTTTGTGGCAAGCTTTGTAGGTTAGTGCTGTTCAATGCGGAAGGATTCAAGTTGATGGTGAGATTGTACCTGTTTCATATATAGTTAAATCATCTCAAAAGATAAGCCATTTCTTGCACAGGTTTGCTTTTGCACTTGATGCTTTACTTCGTAAGATGTGATAGACCTTAAAAACTGATCTCACTGAGGTTTTAGGCATGAACCACCTGTGCTGGCTTGTGAAGTTCCAATCCTTCAAAAGGAACCAGATGTGCTAACTGTTTGTAAGCCACCATCTGTCCCTGTAAGTAAGCATTAACAAATGAATTAGTGAAGGTCCATGTCATAAAGTTGTCTTGTGAAGTAATATATATATATATATATATATAGAGAGAGAGAGAGAGAGAGAGAGAGAGAGAGAATGAACCCTCCTCTTTGAGCTTTTCCGTCATCTATTTTCCCAACAGAATGTGAACAGTGAACTATTTTGCTAGTCATTTGATATTTTCTCCTGAATTTATACAGCAGGCAGCATAAATTATTGTGTGGTGAGCTTCTTTGAATATGTAATTTTTAATTTGGGTTTTCCATTACTGTGGTATTTGCAGTAGGCTGAAATTATATTTCCAATTTTTTGTTTATTAGAGTTTAACTTAATGATATTAACACCAAACACTTTTATGCCATTTAAATTATTTCCTTCAGTTTTACCATAACAAATTTGGAATTCTCAATGATTTTTCTATCAGTTATTTAAGGGGGAGGTGCTTCTTAATGATAGTTTGCTTTGTATTTCAGATACACTAAAGCTCTGAATTTTAGCTGTTACATAGGTACATCCATGTGGTCAATATCGAAAGAACACTGTTGTTGGCATCCTTCAAGCAGAGCATGGTTTGGCACCACTATTTCGTATCCGAAAAAATGGCTTTTGGAAATACATTATTTAGTCAGCATAAAAGAGAAATGTCATATTGTAATAAGGTTTTCAGTTTTCAATAACCGTAAAGTATAGCTTCTCTCTTGGACTTAAATAATTCCCTTTTCTCTCAGTCTCTATCTTTTATGTACTTGCATTTTCCCTTTATTTCCTAGTGTTTATCCATTTTGTATTTGCATTTTTCCCTTGACATGATCACCTCAGCTGTTCATCGACTGGATCGCCTTGTCTCAGGACTTCTTATTTTGGCCAGAAATGCTTCCAAAGCTGACATTTTTAGGCAACAGGTGAATTTAGGCACGGCCTTCTGCTTTGTTCTTCACTCTTTTTCTTCTGTTATAATATTTACTCTTCAATCTTCGTAAAGGTGAATCTATTTAAGTTTACATGACATATCTAATGAGCAACACTGTTCATTTTGCTTAAGCTTCTGATCTGTCTAGCTCGTTGCCATCTTAAATATATATATTTTTATTAAAAAGGAAAAAGAAAAAAGAATAGGAGATATATTCAAATGATACTTCAAATTATTTACTTATTAGTATGAATTTGTGAAAGATAATGTATATACAGGTATTGTTGTACTATTTATTTACATATTCTGTGATAGAAGTGCTTGGTTTTCCTTGTATGTTAGTCTTTTCTGTGTTCTGAACAGTGACTTACATATAATGAACATAACTAGAATGTTATACCTGAATTTAATAAAACTATTATTTTTTCAAAAGGTCGGATGTATACTTTTTTTTTTGAAGAAGGTGCATACCTTTTCTTAAATTTAGTTGTTACAGAAGGTTCACGTTGACATGTTCACATGAAGTTTAGACAGGAACAGAAGAGATGTGCAGAGTTCTGCAGTTGAGCTAGGTTTGAAAATGTCAAGTCAGTATTCAGAAGCCTGCAAAGAGCCATTTAGTTTCAAATAATAATCATGTAAACATATATCCATGAAAAAAAGTGATGATAATGCAAACAAAATTGACAATTATTGGCTGCAATGATGAAATGTCTTGAAATTTAACCTGTGTTTACCAAAATATTGGTAAGGTTTTGTGTTGGAAGGAAGAACACAAAAATGAAAGAAATCTTCAATTCTTGTGTCATGTTATCATATATATAATATCTTGACAAGTTAATAACAAGGACTAAAATACATCTGGTTTGCAGTGAGAGTAACTGCATATTGATTATTTTTTTTGTTTTATAAATACATTGTAATTGTAGAATTTAATTCTTACAGATCGAAGCTGGCTTAGTCCGGAAACAGTATATAGCAAAAGTAGTTGGAGAATTTCCTGAGGATGAGGTATTATTTTATTTGCTCTGGATAAATTATATTTACACTCACACTTAATATTATATTGGAGAAATAAACCATAATCATAATATCAATCATAGTTGTTAATCTTGGATAGCAGTAAATAGTGGCCAACTCCTAAAACACTATAGCAGAATAGCGTATAATAGGATGACTACTGTTTAAAAATTTATAATATGCATATATAATATTTATGTACACAAATTTAATATAAATGCTCAAGAAATTCTCTAAAATTACATAATCATCATTCCAAGTAACTATGTAAAAGTGCAAAACACTGCAGCATGGGTGTTATATAATAAAACTGATGAACAGCAAAACAGATCTTGAACAGAGAAGCAAAAAGGATTAGTGAATATGAAAATAGAACTCAAACAGAAAAGCAGAATAGACGCTGGAAAAGCTGATTTCTCCGGTGAACAGAAAAGTAGAGGAGATGTTGGAAAAACTGATTTCTTCGCCGAAATGGAGTGGGTGAGCCTCCGGACTAGCTGATTTTTCCGAGAAAATGGAATGTGAGTCGCTGAGGAGGGGAGAAACTGCTACGTTGAGGTTTTGACTTTTCGTGCAGTGAGGAAGAGTGTGGAGGAAGATGAAATATATGTTTTATCAATGGTAAATGATCTTTCTACCTTTAAAAATAATTGAAACGATGCGTTTTAAAAAAAAACAAAAAAGGATTTCTTCCTTTCCCCAAAATTGCGCAATAGCACCTGCAACTTCTTTTTGGACTAGGCGCGAACCACTGCGATGGGACAAACGCCCTGCGATTGGCCGCTCCGCATTGCACCGGCGCAATAGTGCCACTATTAACAACTATGATATCAATCCTGAAGTATTCATGGAGCAAATTAGGAATGAGGGCTGACCTACCTGTTTTTAAAGAAAAAAACCCCTTTATGGAGCTTAAATCCTGATCTGCTTGCTGCATCTTTCTCAAGATCAGAAATAATTTTTGTAATTGTGAGACCTCTTCAGATGTCAGCTTGCTGCCTTGTTTTCAAACTGGGTCAGAAACCATAATAGCCAACTCCCTCACCATTGATTGCCTTGAGAATGCATCTGCAGCTTTATTTTCTAGCCTAAGCTTATATATAACCTCAAATTGGAAACCAAGCAATTTGGCAAGCCCTTTTTGTTGATCAGCCAAGACAACACATTGATGTAATAAATCCTTTTGACTTTTCTGATATTACATGCCAAACTCTCCCCATCAAATAATGTTATTAAAATTGATAGGACTATTCGGTTAGGAGTTAGGACAATTACATAGGGTAGTTATAATAATTAGTAAGTTAGGGGGTTAGTGAGTTGAATTTATAGGAGAATGTAATGAGGAAGCTTTTTCATTCTTTCTTGTATCATTTTGCAGATTGAGCTTCTCCTTTAAGGAGACATCTCCTATTTTCTTTTCTTTGCATTCAGTGCAATCAAGGTAGTTAAAATCCTGTGCTGGCTTGTAGAATTGTGCAGTTCTACAATCTTCACATTCTTGGCCAAGCTGAATTGCATGCAAAATTGCATCCTTGTGGGATTGTGCAGGATCATCGTGCAAGATCGTAAATTCAGTGGAAATGTTTGATCTTGCTTTGCTGAAATCATTTCAAACCATAAAACTTGTGACTTGATTTGGTGTTTGGCTTCGATAAACAAGCACCTTGAGCCTAAAATTGAATAGGACCAAATCAGAACCCTAAACACATGCACAAAAGCACTTGCCTTTGCTGCCTATTGCTTGGGTTCTCGTACCCACTGCTCACCCACTCATCCCCATCAAGTATCATGGCCCAAAATCCTGTTCTGGTGTCTGCACAAGCTGCAACTTGTGTAGCTTTGGTCTACAACCTACAACCTGCCTTGTTTCTGCTTGTGTTAATTTAAGTTGTTACTTATTTTATGAATTATGTATAATCTTATAAAATATGGATAATAAATTTATGTTTATCTTCATTGAAGTCTTTTTTTTTTCTTATTTATGTTATTTTGTATTAATTTATTAATTTAAGTTCTTAAAATATGAACTGTGTTTGTTTTTGCCTGTGTTAATTTAAGTTGTTGTAAATTTATATCTATGTGTCTGTCAAACTTTCCCTGCAGGTGTTGCTGGATGCCAGCCCACTTGTGGTGGCTAGTGGATAGTTGTTGGGGAGTTGCTATGGGTGGGTACATGATAGAAATTTGGTATCTTTATTAAGAAACACAGAGAAGAACTCCCCGATTTACAGAAATGTTTTAAAACTTTGCATGCATGCAACAAAGCTGAAAATTGGACATGATATCATAATGCAAGAAATGAGACAGGAAAAATAGTGAGTGAAACATGTTCTAAGGCTTTTGAAGGGTTATCAAGAGCTTAGTACCATGTATGTTGAAAGGAAGATTTATAAGCATGCCAAAAGTAGAGAAATAAAATCTAGAGATTTGGACGAAGATAGATATATTAAGGATTTTGGAGGAAAAATTTTGGTTTCAGATCAAGATATTGAAGGCAGATGAGAAAAATATTTCTATAACCTTTCTAACGATGGATAAAGAGCAAATGAAAATAAAGTAGGATTAGAAGTGTAGGTGAATGATACAAATTTGGCATATTATCGTAGGATTCAAGTTGGAGAAGTAAAATAAGCTCTTAAGAGGATAAACAATGGTAAAATAGTTGACTTTGATAATATTCTTATTCAAGTTTGGTAATGTTTGGAAAAGAAGAACTTGAGTACTAAGCCCTTTAATGAAATTTTGAGATCTAAGAATATGTAACTTTGGTTCATATATACAAGAATAATGGTGATATCCAAAATTATACAAAATATAGAGTGGTTAAATTTAGGAATGACACTTTAAAGTTGTGAAAAATGGTGATTGAACATACACGGAAGAAAACTTAGATTATGAAAAATCAATTTGGTTTTATGCTAGGAAGGTCTACGACAGTAGCTATCTTTTACGAAAAATGATGAAAAAATATCGCTACAAAGAAAATGACTTATATGGTTTTTATTTATTTGAAATATGATCAGGTACTAAATGAAGTGTTATGGAAAATTTTAGAAAAGAAAAAGTCCATGTATCATATATTTGAGCTATATAAGACATGTATGAGGAGGTAATTATGTGTATGAAAATTTCTGGAGACGTATCAAAGGACTTTCTAATAAGGATAGGTTTACGTTAAAGTTCCATTTTGAGCACTTTAATGTTTAATCTAGTTTTAGATGTGCTTACGAAAAAAGTTCATGATTTGAATGGAAAATTTTAGAAAAGAAAGGGGAACAAAAATGGTAGTTAATACTTGACCTTAGAAGAACAATGGGAGAAGAAAGTAAAAGTGACAAAAATGAAAATGTTATTGTGCATGAGTGGTCACACCAGAAATGATAGTATAGTGAGAATATTAGAGTAATACTTATAGAAAAAAAAATGACTGAAAATTGTCTAAGATAGTTTGGTTACGTGAAAAAAATATCTTTGGAGGCACTAGTGAGGAGAATGGATTGCATGACTTTTAGTTTGGTATAAAAAGGTTGAAAGATACCCGAAAGAATCTTAGATGAAATTATTAAAAGAGACTTTTTGATTAATTAAATTTTTGAAAATTTGGTTTTTTACCAAGCTCAATGATATTGTGTGGTTCATGTAGCTAATTGCATCCAGTGGGATAAGGCTTGATTGTTATTGTTGTTGTAAATACACACTCAATAGGTCTTCGAGGGACTGCCCCTCATAAGCAACAAGTGCTAACTCTCACAATTGAAAGAAACTTCCTCCCTCATCCCTTCTACTTGTTATAGGTAGCGTGCCTTATTAACTAATTTAGGTAAACTACTAGTGGAGGAGGTTATCAAGGTGAATAGCTATGACAGCTGCAAAACAAAGTTCTATTGGGATTCTGTTTGTTTGAAGCATTATGATTAAGCTAACCTCACTATTGCTGTCCCAAAGGAACCTCTAGTCCTCTAAGGTTGAACACAAACAAGTGACTACAATCAATCTCTTCCTATGATTTGTTTTCTGTGTTATTTTTGGCCATGAAAAAGAGCCTTGGAGGCTCTAGAATTATGATGAGATTCCTTGGCTCTCTTGTGAATTGCCCTACTGCACATGGTTGCAGCTGATGATTATCAAGATCCAAAACCTGCATTGTTGTTGTTAGTTCAGTCCTTGGCGCACTCAATGAAAATATATCCTCATTATTACTATTTATTATATAAATTTATTTTTGGTTATTCATTGTAATTATTAAAAAATTCTATTTTGTCTATATATATATATATATATATATATATATGAAGAAGGATAAGTCTAAAAACTCTTACATTTTATCTAAATCTTTCATTTAACTAACATATAATGGTCAGTGAAGTAATAAATTATAACTCGTTAAATGTAAGTTAAATGAAAAGTTTAGATCGAGTGTAAGAGTTTTTTGTAAGAAGATACTGTCCTTATGTATATATATAGGAAATTAATCTTTATATTATAGAATATCTCCTAAAAATTACAACTATAATGAAAATATTATATAAATCTATACAATAAATGATAATAATAATAATAATAATAATAATAATGAGGATATATTCTTAACAACCCGTCAATTTGGTGGGTGAATATCTATCATTCTTCAGATTCCAAGAAATATCTTGGAACCATTCACTACCAATCTCTTAGTGAATATATTTGCTAATTGACCTTGGCAGTGGACACGTGTGGTAGTTATAAAATCACTATCCAATTTGTCTTTAATCTAGCGCCAACCAATCTATATATGTTTTGTCATGTCTTGTTGAATTGGATTATGATCTATGTTGATGACAAATTTATTATTGCACAAAAGCTTCGTAGGATCATTGAATTTTATTTGGAGGTCATAAAAAATGATTTTCACCTATAGTAGCTCACACAATCCTTGGGGCAGAGCTTGAAGGTAAATCTTCTACTAGCTCACACAACCAGTCTCCCCTTTTTTTAAAGAGTATGTCTCATCCAAAACATCATTTCAAATACTGAAGGATCTTATTCACTGCTTGTAAGTGTCTTTCATGAGTCATGTATGAATTGATTGACAATGTTAACAACATATGCAATGCCACGTCTAGTTTAGAATAAATAAATTAGCTTTTTCACAAGTCTTTGGTATTGGCTATGTCTCTGATAGAGTGTTCCCCCTCTCCTTTTATTCAATGATTCTACACCACAGGTACTCTAGTGGTTTTGTTTTCCAGTTTCCTAGTCTCCTTGAAAAGATTTAAAACATATTTCTTTTGAGGTAAAATTTCCATGTTTTGGAGTACATTGTCTACCTAATGAGATAATGCTTGGTTGTTGTTGGAGTATGTCATCTCAATTTCAAGGAAGTACTTCAGTTTTCTTAGACCCTTCTTCTGAAACTGAGCAGATTATTTCTTCTTCAAGCATTGTTTTTCAATTTCATGGTCACATGCAAAACTAGCAAAAGTGTTAATTTATCATCTTGAAGTGCTTTATAAAAAGAGTATGATTATCTTGATTTGTTTGTATCTTAAGGACACTAAGTAACTTTTCCAAACCAAGCACGAGGAGATTGTTTAAACATGTATAGAGTTTTCTTCAATTTACACATTGTTTCAACCATCAATGGTGCCATATTTCAGTGGGATATCCATATACACCTCTTCTTCTAAGTCTTCGTGCAAGAAGACATTTTTTACATTAAATTGGTGCAAGCTCCAACCAAAGCAGGTTACAGATGAAAGATTGTTTTTTACAGTATTATGAAAGATTGTTTTTTACAGTATTAATTTCCACCGTTGGTGCAAACATCTACTTATAGTCAATTCCATATATCTAGGTGTATATTTTTGTAACTAATCTAACCTTGTACCGATCAAGAGTACCATTTCATCAATATTAATGGTATAGATTCACTTACAACCTTCTTGTTCTTGGATCTCTCTATAATCTTCCAAGTTGCATTCTTCTCTAATGCACCCATCTCTTAGGGACATTCCAAGAATCAATGACAGATAAAACTTTGATGTTGCATAGATAGGTATTTAGTGGATATAAAATGAGAAATAGGATACTTGACACAAGAATGTTTTCTTTTTTAAAAATAATGGGTAGGTCATCTGGATCAAGCTCACAATTGTTTAAAAATATATGTAATAACTTACGATTGGTGTTATTATTACTTTTGGTTTGGCCGGTTGAAGTTGTTGGACCAGGTCAAGTTTTCTTTTCTTTTGATAGACCAAGGTAGGTATGCTTGCTTTCTTTGGTATCCAGTCATCTTTTTCTTTTGGAATTAGAGGAAGGAGTCAATTCTTACAAATGACACAGATTAAGAAAAACAGAAGACAAGCGTTAAGAGAATCAATTAACTTAGTTTTCTTATGACTCTTTCCTTGTAGACTTGAAGTTGAGGATGAAAGTAAAATGACTGTTTCACTAAGAAAAGGCATACTTAGAGACATAGACCTGATGACTTAGAGGGTAATAGCATTTAGAGTCCTTTTTGTTTGTGGTATACCTTATGAAAATTTACTTAACAGCACCGAGATTCAACTTTTCATGGTGTTAATTATGAATGTGAATAATAGAAACACAACCACAGACATGAAACTGAACTGTTCATAATAGGAATAGAAAGATAGATATTGATTGTACAGGAATAAAGCCATTCAAAATATGAGTGGGCAACTTGTTAATCAAATAAGCGCCTGTTGAAACTGCTTCTTCTCAATAGGATTTCAACACTATCATCTGAAATAGTAATGCCCTGGCAACTTCCCAGAGATGTCTACCTTTCATCTCACTGAAACTTTTGTTGGATTCGTTTAGTTGTTTGTACTTCAACGAACTTTCATTTACATAATATGTTGATTTTGGTTATAAATAATTAAGTGTTGTTTGGTCTGATAAGATTGAGAATTTGAGATACTTTTCTCCTTATTTGACTAAATTTTTACTTTTCAGCTACTTGTTGATGCAAATATAGACTATAATGCACGAGAAGGAAGAAGCACAGCAGAGGTGAGGCCTTTGGTTCTGTATGGCGAATTGTTAAGAGAATTTTGGGGCGCATATGGTTTGTTATATATTTTCATTATCTATTGATGCATTTTTATGATACTACAACAACAACAACTAAGTCTTATCCTACTAGATGAGGTTTGCTATATGAATCACACGATGACATTGAGATCAGTCAAAAACTAAATTCTCAGAATTATTTGACATTGTACTTGAGCCATGTGGTGCATTACTTTTGCATAATAATCTAGCCCTAGCACAATATCGTCATAAGTGATCCATGTAAATGTTTCAACAATTTTATGTTGACTGTCTAGGGCCTAACACAATTCTTTCTCCTTTACCCAGACTTAGGACTGACTATGAGACCGTAGACAGAGTGTATGAAATTCATAACAAAATTCAGCTGAAGTAAATTGTCAAATACCTTCTAATATCAACTTATACAGTTTCACAAAATTGTGGGGCAGCATTGCTTTGGTCACGATTAAAAATTTGTATCCCAGTTTCAAAGCAGCATGTTACAAAATCAAAGTTCAAGGTATTTATATCTTCTGCTCCACCTCAACAAAGTTAACATCATAGCAAACAAAAATAGAACTAACACCATGGGTTCCGTAGTAATTGTTAAATGATCTACAAAACAAGCTGTGTGTTGGTGATTAAATTGGTTATTCTAATGTTTAAGAAATAACTGGCACTGTTGAGTTGATACTTGTTCTTGTTGAGTATATTACAAAGATGTGGAAAGACAGGACGTTATCTTGGGTGATAAATCTGATTGAATATATCTCTGTTAATGAAGGTCAGAGACTCTGCAAAGGGCAAGGCTGCCTCTACAAAATTTACTCGGATTAGTACCAATGGTACTGAAAGTATTATTTTATGTGAACCTATCACTGGCCGTACTCATCAGGTATGCAAAATGTGGGCTGATCTGGATTATTTGTTTCTTTCTGCTTTAAATTTAGATGCATATTTTATTATGCTTTCTGTTTTTATTATTTCCTCTGGTGAAAATGTTTCTTTTGATCTTTAAAGCTTGCTAATGTAATTTCATTTATAAATGTCAAAAAAGAAATAAAGAAATTCACTCTCTTCAATGTGTTGAAGCTGGGCTCTTGTAATAGATGGATATAAATGTCACGTGGTCTATTCACTACCACGTCCTGACTCGCCAGTGATGTATCACACTCAGTGACAACATTTGCGGTTTGCTTTAGATTACATTGGTTTGGTTTATGAATACCCTTTCATTGGTACAACTGAAGGAATAGAGATGCAATAGAGGAAATGGAATTATAACCACAGATGCAATTTAAAATGTCAAGTCAACTATGACCAAAACCATCCTGCACTTTTTCTTTGTTGAACTAAATACTGATTTAAGTTTAGATGCTAACAAATACTCACCTCTGCTGTAGATACGAGTTCATTTACAGTGTTCAGGTCACCCAATAGCCAATGACTTGCTGTACATCTCAGAACAAACTGTTGATCGATCTATTAAAGGGTTGAGTGCTGACAGATCAGCAAGCATAACTGATGCTTCTCTGAAATCAAATTTTGAGGAAAAAGTGCTCAATGAATGTGAAGAAAATTCCAATGGAGATTTTAGCATTGATCCCATGTGTACAAACTGCCCAAATTTGGCTCCCAAAGGGTAAGAAACCCTTTATCTTAGAAAAGTATATTTGCTCCTCATTTGTATTGTAGAATTTGAAGAGACAAAGATACATAGGTAACTTTTAAATAAAGTTGAGTAAATTTTCTCTTACTCTAGCATTTTGCCTATCTGTCTAGAGTAGAATGGACTTCATAATTTATTGGTTGAGGGTAGATCTTATTTCATGGTCAAGCCCTGTCATTAGAGTTTAGACTATAATGAGAGAAAGGTAAAAGACCTTTATAATTCGATGCTGCATGTATACGGCTTCAGTTTTTTAATCTCAGGACGAGGAAATTGAAATTAGGTTGTATTTGCTTAACAAAAAACTTAATATTATAGATTGTTCATCTCTGTTTACTTGTGTTGCATTTCAGCGCAAAGCTCTTTTTGCTTGAAATATGATGTTTGGCGACATTGATTGCTGTAAGACAATTAGTTAAAGTATACACATTCTATGTTTGCTAATTTCTATGGAATTTATTTATTTGTATTTATAACATCTGAAGGCTTATTTTAAGTTTTTAGTACATAGCAAGCGTCCAGTCACTTGAACTTCAAATTCCTCAGATTCTATTCTGACTGGTGACTTTTTTTTGTGATTATGAATTTCAGACGGCTTGATCACTATATTTTTTTTCCTATGATTTTTGTAATTGCAGATATGATGGCAATGAAGAAGGTCTTTGGCTACACTGTATTCGGTACTCTGGACCTGGATGGACTTACGAGTGCCCGTACCCTGATTGGGCGAAACTTAGCTAGATATGTTTTTCATGGGACACTTCAAACAATTACAAGGACACTCTTTTCCTACCTTCTAACAGAAACGCCACTGATTGATCACTAGATATTTATACATCATGGTACTTTCCCATTTCGGCAGGTTAGTTAACATGTATTTAATTTTGCTACTATTCAGGAGAAGAATTATCATTATTATATTATTTTTGTCCGTTGTCATGACCGGGGAAAGGAAGAATGGAAGAAACACGAGATGTTTTCCATTTGAAGATGACTACGCGTTTTGTTTAGTGCATATGTACTTAAAACATTTTGGTCAAATCATGTATTACTTATTAAACGTGAATGTTTTGCTTTTGCCGACGTAGTGAGTGGAACATGGAAGACAAGTTTATTAAGGCATATGTTGTAACTTGTTACAGATGTCTGGACCGTGGAGTATGGACCAATTTCGAAAATGGGGTTCGTGTCTTAGTTATTTTTTATTAATCCTAAAAATGGTGCTGCCAACGGATATAACATTTCTATACTTAACTTCAAGCTTCAACATCTAGTCAGGGCGTTTAATTTTACAGATGTTATATATATTAGTAATTATTTTTTATATAATAAGACTAAAGGTAGTATTCTTTACAATTCAAATTGTGAGTTACAATTATTTTTACAATGATTATAAATAATAATAAATATCTTAATTAGTGAAATTTTTATTAAATTATCTTTATTAATTTGTTAATTTTTGGTTGTTACACAATACTAAAAATTTATTTTATTTATTACTTATTTAGGGTAGAATTGGAATAAGATAAATAGTTTTGTTGAAATCTTAAAATGATATTCAATAATATATTTAAGTTAATATGTTAATCCATATAGTTTCTTTACATTTTTAATTAAGTCCTCATAGTTTAATTTTTTTTAATTTTAAAATGCTTTAATTAAAATCTTAACAATCAGTGTTATTATATTTTTATTAAATATGACATTCCTAATTTACTAACCTATTTTTAAAATTTTTATAATTATTTTTCATAAGTATTTTTCTATATATTCCTAAATCTTATTATTGCTAGGTGATAAAAAATTCAACACTAAATTGGGGATCTATTTTTTAAAGTATATTTTTATACTCACATATTCAATACATAGAAACTAAAATATGATAAACCAAAAAGTATAAGGAGGAAGAAAAAGATTTTAAATCACTCCTAAAATTTTGAAGATTCTTAAAAATTAATTTTACAAAAATTTTAAATTTAGAGTCTAAATTCCTCCATCCTAAAAGTTTTTACACCAACTTTACATATAAAAAATTTATTATAATAAATAACTTAAAGAAAATATTAAAAAAACCTTATCTCTATCATCATATAGAATTCAAATACGTTAAAAATAATTCAACATTAAATACATCATCTAGTAATAATATGATTTAGAGATTTGCAAAAAAAAAAAAAAAAACTTATGGAAGAAAATTATAAAAAAATCATTAAAAAATATCAAATTATATAAAAATATCATGGTATTGATACTTTACAAATATATAATAATATTAATTATTAAGCATTTAGTTAAACAAATTTAAATTTATAAAAGATTAATTAAAATTTTTTAAATTATGAAGACCAAATTAAAAATTTAAAGAAATTATAAGGACTAACATGGTATTTTAACCTTAGCATAGTTTTGTTAAAGTGACAATTTAAAATAGAATAGTAATAATTTAGCTAACTTGTGTAATATTACACATGATAAAAAATAAAAAATAATATTTTTTTATAAAAATATCATAGCACTTAATAGATCAATGCATTGAATTATATATTTTTTAGTAAAAAATATTATATATAAAAATTATTATCATGCAGGTTGTTGCATAAATTTAAAAAATAAAATTGGTATGGTAAATATTATTTCTTCTAGTCCTTTTTTATAAGATTGTTTCAACTAAAGCACGTTGATTAAAAAAAAGCTGTTAAAAGTAGTTAATATAAATAGTTTTTGAATAATTAATTACAATGTTTTAAATTTATCTATAGTTAAATTGAATCATTGAAAATTAACAAAAAAAAATTCTAACAAGTTTTTATAAACAAAGACCAAAGTGAGTAGTATTTATAAAAATAACTTTATAGATGGTAACTCTTATTATTATTTTTTGTTAATCACTCGTCTTCCTCTCTCTTTTATTTTTTCCTTATCTCTCAAACCAGTCATTTTCTCATCTTCTAAATTTTTAAATAAAGCTTAAAAGTTTAATGAAAAATTAAATTTACTTGGACTACATGGTTCGTATGGGTCCAATTGATTAAATTGGTTGAAATAAAAAGCACAATAAGACAAGGAATATAATCAATTGATGATGTGATAATTAGACAAAATATCAATTACTTCAAATTATTATTTATCAGTTCAAACCATTAAGTAAGTATTAGTACTTATGTTTTCTCAAATTTCTCTTTGTCTCATTGTTTTCAATAAATGGAATGAGAGAACTGAAATAATAATATTTTGAGAATTATAATGAAGAGTAATAGTATGAAACAATTACATTTACATGACTTGGAGTCATTTAATATCAATTTTCTCACACATTACTTTGAACGATATGCATTTTGAGACAAAAAAAGGTTTAATTTTATGAAAATATCTTCTCCTGTAGTTGAAATTACCTTCAACTGTAAACTAATTTCAATTCACTCATCAACACATGAAAAGTAGATTTTTATTATCTTAGTTAATTTTCATAGTGACTTAATGTTTTATTTAATTTCCCATTTTGAGATGAAATTTAGTTAAATTCACAAGGGGTGTCAATAATACATCGCTTTGGAGCAGAAGTCCATTTTGCATTCATACATATTGAGAGGTTTGTCTCTACAAATTGACAGCTTCCGAGTAGTATATATGTTGTTCGAAACAAACTTTGCGTTGGGTGCACGCTATAACATGAAGCTAAAATAGAGAAGAAGCTAATAGGAATAAAACCAATAAAAATTAAGAAGATGAAAAATATTAGATGTTTAGATGAGTTGAAATAAAATTTTTATTCTACTTGTTTGAATAAGTAAAAAGAATGGATAGAAATAATAGAGTTGTATTAAAAAAATTATTTAAAATTAAAGTTGAGTTAAAAATTTTAATTTTTTTATTAAAATTTTTCTTATAAAAACCTTATTTTTACTGTTCATTTCCATGGAGATTTTTTTTTTGTAATGGAGCTCAAAAAAAAAAAAATCCCTCCCTTTTAGGGAAACATCCAAACAAGAAAATTTGTAATCTTCCTCTCTATTTCTCTCCCTCCCCTGTTTCCATTGCAATCAAACAAGGCTTACGGTCTTCGCAAAATATCGTAGAAAAAGAAAAATTCAGTAGCAAATTTCTATCATTTGAGGACCTTTTTGAAATATTAATGCTTATTCTGGACAATCTAATCATGCAATAATGATTAAGGATCGATTTAGCTTAGTTTAATTATTTAGAAAAGATCAAATTTAGATAATCTAATCGCACGATGATGATTAAGGATCGACATTAGTGTTTTGTGTTCAAATCCGCAGTATCTTGCTTGATACGAAAGGCATGTGCATTCCAATGATACCTGAAATTTAGATATCTTAGAATGGTTTAATGGGAGCACCTGAGACAGTCAAGGTGGCACGTGTCTCTCTTCAAATCAAATTCACTAAGGTGAACCCAAAAAGTATTATGATAATGTGTCGCAAAATGACAGGGTACGTAAAATGTTACATACAAAAGATGACCTGTCGCCTAACTGTACGGCATAAGACAAAAAACATGGAACAATAAATAATAAGATATGGTTGAATTAATTAATTTTTTTTATTTTTACATTTAATTTTTACTCACTCCTTTTATATTTCTCTCTTCTTTTATTATCGCTTTATTAATAATTATTTTTTTAGTTTTTCTTTATCTCTCTTTTTACTAAAGAAAAAAGAGTGCCAACATGTATTTTTCCGTAAACTAAAGGATGAGGTAAGCACGGGCCACCCCGAAATTTATGCATGACACATGGTCTAGTGGTAGTCATTGAAAAATCAAATCAAAAACCAAATCATATAAATTTAGAACTGAATTATTAGGCAATGATTGGCACAGAGTCGAGGTAAACCACTACAAAACATTAAAAAGCAAGAAAATGTAATGATATATTAGGCGAAAGTGGCAACCCCTATGCCCATGCATGTAATGAAAACGCGAAATTTCATTTCATTGACGTATATGAATAGAAACAAATAAAGCATTAGAAGAAGACGGGTTTGATAGATGACATATACGGTAAGAGAAGGGTTTAGGGGCTTTAAAGTGGTCCAAATAAGTGGTTTGTTACATCACCCTTATCTCTCTGCTTGAAGGAGATTGAGCACGAGAACCACACCTAACCTGCCCAGTAGTATTCATTTTTGGTTCGGTGCATGGCGATGTTATCTTAATCTCAACACAATCATAGGCAACTTTTAAGAGGGAAATTGGCTCTTTCGTTTCCGTAAGCCCTTCAAAGTTCATATGCTTATCTTTAGACGCATGAGTCACCTTTCGTGCATTATTATTATTCTCTCCCTGTGGCCCATTTTTTGGTTTCACGTTTAGTAGCTAGTGCTTCTCATTCTCCCATTTTTCTCCGCCTACCGTTTCTTTTTTAATTCAGATTATCCCCACTTCTTCGATCTACTTCAATATTGTGAGACATTTGGAACAAACTCCTTCATATTCTTTCCTATCTTCATCAGAACGCGACATCTAAAAGCATGCACAGATCAACCGCACAAACATAAATCACCTATCCTTTTCCCACGGAATTAGTTTTCGTATTTAGAGAAATTCAGAGGAGAAAAAAAAATCCGAATTAACTTCTTTTGTCCACTTGCATTTAAATCTTAAAAATTATAAATATGGAAAGTACGAAATATATTTGATACTTCAAAGATATTAAGTTTATTTGTTTTTTTTTCAATACTTTCTTTATTATGAAAGAAAAATTATTAGAAAGAGGTTCTCTTATTTTGGGACGCCTACTATATACCTTCTCTATATAAACAATCTGGTTTCTAGTCATTTGATATTATTGACAAAGTGTGATATTACCTTTCAACTGAGGGAATTAAGCATATATAAAGATGTCCAATAATGCATGGTTTCGTTTATTTTGGCTACAATTGCATGGTATGCAAAAAATATGATGGGCAGGTCAATTGTGTATATATGTTGTGCGCATGCACCTAATTAGCCTAATAAACAGCTGCCAAAACACTCAGTTCATTATAACTTCTAGAAAGACTAACTAAAATAATTGAAATCACAGGAGTTGATGCTTAAAAAATTATTTATTTATATTCGAGAATGATATTTTAAGAACGAGTTTAAAAAATAATTTTATTTGAATGATAAACTAAAATCACTTTTAGAATATATTATAAACATAAGTATGTGATCTGAATATTGATAGTTTTCCTATTCAGATGTTTTACTCTATTAAAAATCCAAAATTTTTCTTTTCTCAGGTTCAATTTAGATCGTCATAAAATTAATTTTATAAAAAACTCAAACAAACAACTGAGGATATTATGCCAAATCATTTTCGTAGTGACAATATATAACGTCAATTTGGTGATATAGTTACTCAATGACTCGTTTCATACTAGTTCTTGGTTTGACTTTGCAGTATTAAAAAACTCTCTCAAGACGCAATATGTATGTATCAAAGACATTAAGATATTTTTATCAATTAAGAATATAATCAGAATATTTTTTATAAAATATAAATAATTTTTAGCTAATTCGTAGAGTAAATTAGGCCATATTTTTTCAATAAAAATATTTAGCATTAAGATTTGGACTGTATCTAGGCTTTAAATGCGCGCGATACACTCTCTTCTTTCTAAGTTTTATTTAATAAGAAAACTCTGAAAATAATTAAAAAATGATTTGAAAAAGAAAGATTAAAAAATGGAGTTAAAGGAATACAGCTAGGCAAGTAGGTCTGTGGTGGTTCTTGGCTCTTGTCATCTTATTTGACCTTTTTTGCTGTGGGCTATTCATATATCAATATCTCGGAGATGAAATTATGAGCAACGTGGAACATAAAGAGTAACGTATTCTACACATTTGGAGGATATATTTTAAGATTTTTTATATTTAAAATGTTTTTTTTAAAAATAATGTATATAAAATAAAAATATATAATATCATACAGATAATATTAATTTTTAGTAATTTAAATAACAGAATTTAATAATAATAATAATAAAAATAAATCAATCATGGTTTTGGAGTTACAATCCTGAGATTCAGTAATTTCAAATAATTGGCATTGATTTTTAAAACCATTCCTTTTGATGAATAGAATGTTAACGGGTACGGATTGGCATCTTACAATCGGAGTGTCGGGTGCTTTTGCCAATGATTGTTAGCTGCCGTCATCGAGATATACATTTTTACTTTTTAGGGTCTCCTCCTTTATATCTGCCCCCTTCTCCATGACATCATCAAAAGCCCCTCCACTTTCTCCATCTCTTGATGCATAATTCAATCATCAAGAATTACCAATAAACAATATAAAATTTAACGTTAGGACAATGATTGTATCGTATGAAATTAAATAAAAATGTGCTCATTAGTCATAGATTGCATAATCAGTGAAATAACTAATTCCCATCTCATGAATATATTTTATGCATGTAAGGAAAGAGAGGGAGAATTGACTGAAAGAAGGGAAGATACTTAGTTACACGTCTTACTACTGTCTGAGAGTGATGGATGAGGTCAAAGAGACGCTCATGTTAACATAGCTAATAAAACCACCTGACATATTACAGCTACTTGTTCACGCAAATACATAAATAAATAAATAAAAAAAGAACCCTTAAAGTTAATACCAAACTACGTACTATATACTCTTGTGTAGAGATGAGGCCCCACTTGGCAAAGTATAGTAATTGTACTTATGTTAAACATTTTTGGCCCTCCTTTTCTTTTCCTCTTTGGATTTGTTCATTCTTTACTAATCAAACCCTGCCGGCATTATCCATGATGTTCTTCACATTTCCCTTTCCTGATTCTTCCCAATTTGGATCCTCAACAGATGTCACAACCACGGCACCATCTTCTGTTATATGATTTGGCTCAGAGGGTACCATCGTGCTCAGCTTCACAACTTCAATAACATGACCATTTAGTTCTTGCAACTTCACTGGCACCTCCAATGTCACTGTCTTGGATTTTCTATAAATCAAATACAGCACCATCTGAATTATGCCGAATAGAAACCCAAGCGTATTTGGGAGCTGCATCATTCAAATGCAAATATTAAATCATTTCTTTTTGTGGTAGGTCAAATCATTTATTTATTATAGGAACTTCTTGGTTAATAAAGTGAAAGAAATAAAATTAAATTGCAACGTACAAATGCAACATAAAGTTTTCTAATTAAATTATAATATAATACCGGGCCCAAATGTTTCTGTTTGATTTTCCATTTTTATGTGGGAACTCAACATTAATGGAGTGCGCACACATTGAATTTTATTATTATTAAATTTACATTATCACTTATATATAAAGCATAACGAAAAGTTATGGGATCTACACATTAGAAGAAATGAGAAAGTTGATAAAGGAAAAGCCTTTGTTGGAATAAGACAAGAGATCGAAGTTCAATAATATAATATGCTCCTAATCGTACGTAGCAGTATTGAATTGAACTTACAGCGATGTAATAGTCCTTGAGGAAAAGACCATAGAAAAACCACATGACAGCATTTAAGGTCAAAAAGAAGGACAAGCTGAAAGGCATGAATTCCACGCTCTTCGTCTTTATGACACGTTTCTGCATGTATCGATTATAAGAGTTTAATTTATCTTTCAGCTCAAAGATAAAAAGAGAAACCAACACAAAAAAAGGTGATGATGAAATCCCTCTACACCTAAAGAAGTAGTAAAATGTGTATCAGAAATGAAAAGGAACAAGAAATTATCTTCTCTAATTAAGGGCCATTTGTTTGAACTTTTTTCTAACAGAATACATATTTTAAGTATAAAAACCCTTTAAAATTCTTCTATTATTTCTTTACGTAAGCTAAAAATAGTAACTCATGAAAAAGTATCTCCAAAAAAAAAGTATTACATATTCATTTTCTCTTATGGTTTTAATAATGAATCGGTTCCTAAATTCTCACCATAATGCCGAGAGGAGCAGCAAATACGCTTATGTTGAAAACGAGGGAAATCCATCCTATAACAGTAAGACGTTTGGATCCCGTTGTAAGATAGAGGGTTGAAAGTAGCATCGCTCCGAACCCAAACACATTTAACAAGAGAAGAATCTTGATGGTCGAAAGCTGTGACATTAAAGAGAAGGAAAATTAATTGTTTTTCCAATATTTTTTTGATAGTAATAATAGACTAGGAGTTATTATATGGAATACCCTGGTTTTATTTGGTGCGTAAAAAAGGAAGGTGGCAAGATAAATTGTTTCTATCACACATCCAAAGGAGTTAATGGTGATGAGAAGAAGGCTAGACTCCTTTTTGACGAGTGCATAATAAATCCATAGCATTGAACTGAACAGTGCAACAATATAAGGTAGTGCCTGATACCCTTCCGAAGATTTCTTCTTGTAGATTTGGTAAAAAGTTGGTCTGCACTCAAATATTAATTAACATATAGTTAAAGAAAAGTACTTCAGCGGATAATTGTATGCTGCTTAAATTCATTAATAATAGCATATGCTAAAGCGAAAAGATCACTTACAATGGAGCAAGGAACACCATAAAGGAGATGACGTTGCCTATAATAACACAACAAAAATACAAGGAACATCCATCAGCACATAGCGCTAGTAAACAAATAATTTTAACCAATTATTACTTATACCAACATGTTTGATTTCTTCAGTAGTGCAAAATTTGAAATAGATAAACCTCAAATATTATGAATTTAAACCTTGGTATCTGCATGCTGTATAACTATTTATAAAACACGCCGATTAATTTAATCAAATATATAGTTGCTAGGTTAATGCATTATGTTTCTTTCCAGACCGTAATTTAACATTCTTCGAATTAAGAAACACGCCATGCAATCTGCATGCCATGAAATCATCATGTCGTCTGAAACTACCAACCCGAATCATAGTAAATTGATAATAAATAATATAGAAACAATGATTTACATTTCTAAGTATATAGATTAAAAACTAACGTTAATTTTTGCTATTTAATTTGCGAACTACAAAGATGACGGAGGAGGATAATGAGATGCTAATGATAAATATGATAGCTAGTAGTGATAGAGATAGAACCACACTAATGAAAATAATAATAATAATAAAAGCCAGCTAATATATACCTAGAAGGCCGAAAACGAAAGCCCAAAACTCTTGGTTTATGGCCATGTTTGTTAAATCTAATTGAACTCTTGGAGTCTCTCCCTCTTAATTTGAGTGATAGAATATATGGTCTCCAATTGAAAACCCTGAATTGAGGCTATCTTTCAAATGCACGAGTCGTTATGGGAAGAGTGGGAACCTATTTATAGTGCGCAAAGTCAAGTTGGGGATAGGAATCCCATTGGTATCATCATCAATGTAGCTTTCCAGTTGTTCCACCAAAACACTATTTACTTTAACTCAATCCATACACTAATGCTCTTCTTTCTTACCCTATTCAATTCTCTATCCTTATTTGGTTGAAATTTTCTTCAACAGATACGTCCTCTCCCATGGTAAACTTGTACCATTATTGGTGCATTCACAAAATTCGTGAGGGGCCCACAATTTTCCTTTATGACGTGTCACCCACGATGTGGTTTTAAGCCTTACAACTCATAGTTCAAGTTGATAGATAGAGGGGTGAAACTTGCTGCACACAAATTTAATAACAATTACCCTACCTGGTCAAGATATTTTTACACTTGGGTACGGCCTGTTGGTTGACTATAAGGAAGAGATCCATAAAAGATAACAAATATTTTTTATAAAAAATTTATCAGTGCTTTTTCTATTTAATATTTTTTAAATACAGTATAATTTTATGTTATATAATTATTATTTTTAATTTGTGTGTTTATTAAAAGAATTCAAACTAATATTATATAATAAATAAATATCATAAAAAAATTATTATTGTTATACGTTACCTCCTTGTTGCTCCTAAGGGCCGTGAGGGTGGGTGCGGCTCCTTTACCTTATCTATGGAAATAGGACAAAATTTAGTTGTAATATTTTAAGTCTATTTGGTGTTGTTTACTGATGAAAATTTTAATTTTATATCAGTAATTTATAATAATATTAAACAAATGTTTATTAAAGTAAAACTCAAATTTTAATTGATAAATAATATTATCGATAGCTAAAAAATAACATGTAAGTTTTTTCCTAAAAATGTTATGGCTGCAACCATATCAAACCATCTCTGACATTTTTTATTTATTATTTAATTTACCATCTATTTTTAATATTTGTATTTATTTATTTAGTTTATCTCGTCATTTATTATATTTTTAGTCTCTGTTTGTCTTCTTGTTTTATCTCTTTTTTCTTCAAATATCTCACCTCTCATCCTATCGAACGTGAGAGAAACTTTATTCTACTTATTTAGACAATAAATCATTATTCAAGTTAACCAAGGGAATTCTAGTTGGGGCCTTTCCTTTGCAATATTTACAGGAAAATGAATTTGTATGGCTCTTCTATTAATACTTTTTATAAACAAAAAATATATAAAAAAGAAATATTTCAACTCAAACATTAAATCAGTTTACAGCAGAGCAAACAAAGCTATTACATTTAGATAAACATTTCTACTACAATAATTTACATGCAAAACCAAGATTAAGATCTCACTTTGATATGATCCAAACTAGAATTTCTCGTCTCTAAATATAATCTCATTACACTCTTAACTATAAATAACGTCATTATTATTTATTAACAACTCACTTTTTCCCACTATTTTATTTACTTTCTCTTATTATATGAATTTTATATAGTTAATGAAAAGAAAAAGTAGGCTCACTCTCTTTATATCAAGAATTACATAAAATTCTCTTAAATCGTGTTAAAAAAAATCCATGTAGACGTAAAAAAAAAAAAGATATTTAAATAGATTTGCTAAAACATACAATCTAAATTTTAATCTTTAGGTATGAATTAATTATGGACTTTATTGATTTATTTAAATTTTTTATTTAATCTAGTTTGAATTGACGTACTTTATTTATCTTATAAAATACATATTGAATTTAAATTGACCTCTATTTTAAAGCCTAAATAAAAAGTAATTTTATTACCCAATCCAATAAAATTTAAAGTCCAAACTAAATTGAATAACATGTTATGTCACCTTTCAATGTCATGTCTAATAATATATTAACATTCTTGAGACAAATAAATTGTGTTAGGGTAAGCTGCTTTTTTATTTTATTTTTTCTATTTACATAATTGGGCAGCCAGCCACCAAAAGCCATAAGACGCGGAATGATGTAACTTCCACAATCGCGATTAATAATTTTAATGTTATTGCTATGCTATCTCCTTGTAGTATCCTTTGCTTCTCGAAACCTTATGGCATCGCAAATGAATTAATTAATTGTTTTTATATTTAAGATCTGTTTTGATAAGCATGCAGTTTAATTAAACACCCATTCAAGAAATATACTACATAAAAAATAGTAAAATAAATTAAAAATTTATATATATCATAAACTATTTTTATAAACTTCTCCAAATTAATATTCCTAAAGTAAATACATTAGAAATGTAAGAAGGATAATTAAAACTTGCTTGATTTATAAGAAATATGAAGAAATATAAATTGATATCTATAACTGGCCTGGTCCTGGGGTCCCGGGCACCACCGTCCCTATGCATACTCATTTTTCTTCCTTTTGGGTTTCTTTCTCACGAAAGGTTTTTGAATCACCTACAAGAGTTTGGCTACTTCTACCATGGGAGGCCAAGTTAAGGCGAATAAAGTACAAATTTATAAAAGCCAAATTTGTCTAGCTGCACTGTAATGCACTGCAAGATGAAAGCCTACATTATATATATAGATATTGAACCAACTTTCCCTCCTTTCATAATCTTTTTGCATGATTAAATCAAGTGAAGTTTGAGCTACATTCTTGAATCTGTGAAATTCAGAATCGCACTAGCTAGCTAGCTAGCTATATAGGGGGTGAGCTTTTTCGATGCGTAATCGCATTTGGAAATTTGGATCTTAACTACTTTGGCATAAAGCTAGGAGCAAATGAACGTAAATTAGCATGCTCAGCATCACGATCGAGAATATGCTAACTTAAACAAGAAACACCCTCTGCTTGTTGACCTATGCGAGCAGCCGCAAATCACACGCTATAAAAAATATATTTTTTAGTAATTAAAATTTACTAATGGCTGTAAAATTTAATTACTCTAAAAGCATATAATGTTTGTAATTAAATTTTAATTACATATAATAATTATTATATTATAAGAGGACACTATAATTTTATATATAATGACAATAAACGTGTGCTGGCATAAATAATTTGCCATTAATAAAGAATATTAGTAATAAATATTAATTTCTCTATATAAATTCTTACTAATAATAAACTTAACATTATACTTGTCAGAAAACATAATTTTTCACTAAAATAAATTATAACTAGGGATAGTACTTATATAGTACACGGAAGTTTTAATATTTTATATTTATAACAACAAATTTAAAAGAAAATTTTTTTAAATGAAAAACATGATTGCAATTATAGATGAAATAAGTTTAAAAATATATTTAATCAATTTATAATGAATTAATTTACATTATTTTTATTATGGTGTAAAATTTTCATACTTACATAAAAATATATTTAATCAATTTACTTTTTTTTTCATGTATATATCCTATAAAAATTACAATTTTTTATTTACAAAACTAGAAATGTTTTATAGCATGGAAAAAAGTAAAAAAATCGCACAAATATTACATCTGGAATAATAAAAAATAGTAAAATCAAAATTACAATATTAGTTAATAAATATCACGCCAATATATATTTTTATATATCTATTTAACATTAATATATAATAAAATGAACCTTTTTATAATTTATTAAATTTAATGCAATTTTAATTAGAAACTAAATGTATTGAAAAGTGAAGAAATATAAGTATGAAATAATTGAAAAGTTGACGAAGGAAAATTAAGTGAAGATATTAATTTGAAAGCGTTAAAAATAATTGAAAAAATGTAATAGCTTTACTAGGAGAATCTCTTATTATTTATAATTTATTATATTTGTATATGAAGTGTGATATAAATATTATGCAAAAGATAATTAAGTTTTGAGAAAAGTAACAACAAATTTTTTAAATTAAAAATTTGAAAGGTGAAGAAAAATAAACACTGAAATATTGAAAAGAGATGGAGAATATTTAAATTGAAATTTTTTAATAAATAACATGTAACAAGTTTAATAGAATAATTTTATGTTACTTATAAATTTTTATATTTGTATATGAAATATTATATAAAAGATAATTAAGTAATAAAGTCAAAATATTACAGGTGATGGTGATAAAATGGTAAGTCTCTTGTTCTCGAAGATATATAGCAGGTTTTAGGTTCAATTTTCAAGTCAACCTAAATTTAATTAAAAAAGTTAAGTAGTTGAGAAAATATTAACACTTAGACGATGAAAAGTTATTAAATCATGACAAAAAAATCATTATTATTATGACATTTATTATTGACAATTAGTTTTGTCATTATTAAATATCTTGTGAACGACGCTATAAAATGACTACTTAAAATATTGTCACAAGCTTATTATAATAATATTTTTTATATATTACGAAAATTAATATTTGTACGATGAATACAATTTTTCTGTGATGACTATAGCGTAAATTCTCAACCAAACATTTCATAATTTCAGTATGAAATTGCAATTAGCACGAAAAAATTCTTACTAATACATTATCTAATTAATCACTTATCAAAGTCACACACAATCAAGTTGAAAATATCAAGTTAAGTAGTTACGTTAACTTGTCCACTAAAAAAATAGAGCAAATGAAAAAGAAAATAAACTTGAAAAAAATGTCTTTGGTCACTTTTGCTTTGATTTAATTGGTTTTTATTTAAATTTTAGTTAGAATAATATCACAAGCGTGATTTTTAAATTGACAATAATATTTTTCATAAATAAATTATGTAATAATAAATTAAAAAATCAAATACAAAATGAAAATATAAATAATAAATAATTTTAAAAATCAGAAACAACACCAACTTAAAAACACTTAAGTAACAACCAAATTTTATGTTAAAGATATTTCGTTGTTAGTATTTTTGTTTGTCTTAAATTTCAAATATTTATAATCTCAATTTGATGTATTTTTAATTTTTTTAAGTGGTTGATTTACTTATTTATTTTTATTAATTTATTTAAATTTACATATATTTTTTATGATTTTATTTTTATTTAGATTTATTTTTTTTAAGAGTCATATTCAAG